TCTACTCTTGGTCTATTTCGTGACCAGATAGCAGGTATGTATGAGATAGCAAATGCCAATAACCCATCAAAAGAACGTAGGACGGTGGGTTGGTCTTAATCTGTATTCATCATCGTTGTTTGCCTTGTGTTGTCATAGGCTTAGAGTTGGGTTTAGGGTTAGCGTTAAGGTTAGAGTTAGCGTTAGGGTTAGCGGTAGTGGTAGGGCTAGTGTTAAGATGGAAGTTAGGGCTACAGTTAAGAGAGAAGAGAAGAGAAGAGAGAGAGAGAGAGAGAGAGAGAGAGAGAGAGAGAGAGAGAGAGAGAGAGAGAGTGAAGAGCAGGGATGCATGCACAGAACGAACATGATAATTTCTCGACTCCTAATCACTTCATAGTTATTATTTCTTGAGAGACCCTAGCCCGGCCGGCACTGAAATAATTTAAAACTAGTATAATTGATTACTTTTGGCATAAATTCATGCCACCTATTCGTGAAACCATTTTCGGCACAGACGTGGCACCTATATTTACAACAAAGTTTTCGCTAAGCTCATCTGGCTACAGTGCCAAGATGCATAGAAACATAGTATCGCATATTATTGTAGGCCAATATACATGCACGCACGCATATGAAATGGTTTTATCGCTGCTTATGCGAATTTACGTTATACCCTGCTGCAACATCACCACTCCTATGAAAACCGTTTCAAGCCTATTATTAGAACGCGGATCTTTTTGAGCAGTATTCGGTAGCTTCTTAGCAAAGTAAAAACATCACAGTAAACATTGCAGGCGTTTACGTAGACTGACTTCTGTGCTGTAGAGGTGATAATGCACCTACTTCCTCCATGTGCCATTACCTACGCTGGGCAAATTCGCGTTCATCTGGGGCATTTATAGAGCATATTATAGAATAATAAATCGGAAACTTTCCATTAAACGCACATGCGGCGGCCATAACCGTACTTAACGCTAAACCTGCCGTTAAGTAACTTAGTTATTACCAGGAGCTAATAAAGACAAATAATTTGTCTTTATTAACTCCTGTTATTACTAAATTATTAAGCCATCTTCGATGGAGGTTTAACTGAATAATGAAAGCGATGCATATACGTGGGTAATGATGCGTGAAAACTCACAAAATTTACGCATTAGGCGATGTTTCTCTTGGACGTTCGACGCGATAATACTTAAACTCGGTCTTGGTTGTAGCAAAAAAATGCTGCCTGGTAACGCCCGAGCAAATGTCTTGCTCGCAACGGAAAACATTAGCGTGAAACCGAGTACTGGCTGTCTCAATTTCAAACAAAAGCAGCCCATTGCGGTAAACTCTGTTTTGGAAAGGGTATATTATTCTTTTAGTACTAACTGTACTTGTGCAGCGCCATAAGTCATGCTTTGAGTAAAAACGAATTTTAATACTTCTGTAATCAATCGCGATACTAATAAATCGTGAAAATGATTAAAGAGTACAAGGCGGGCAATTATATTATTTCTACAGCGTTATTTCTTCTCTGAGCAGTTTTGGTTTATTCTAGATTCACAGTGCGTGTGTAACGACGTCTCGGGCCTGAACTGATGCGGTGTATATCCTAATTCATGGACTCATGGATATAGACACAACACGGGATCTAGAAATTCGTGCCACAGCGCAGCTGCGTGAGGGCTGCGCAGATGGTAGGTAATACGGCAAATATGGGTGTAATCTGAGAATGCAGGCTATGCCATGTAGCTACCCCGATTCACGAGCACAGATCAAACAGATCCATCAAGCCCGTGTTACAATGAAGTGTCGACTTCTCTCTCTCTCTCTATATATATGTAAGCACATCACAGGGCTTCGTACGAGCCAGCTACATATAGAGTACACAGATTGAACAATCGTGGATCAGACGGCATAATACGTATAGTCAAGCGTAGAATATGAATTAATGGCATAGTCTAGTGCACTGTAAGGTATATCCGCTGTGGTGTCGTTATTTTATTGAAATTTATCACAACATAGAAATTGTACTTAATATGTATGTATATATATATATATATATGTACTGGTATACTGGTATACAGGTATATATTGTCGGATGCAATGTTGATGCGTGATATACTTCTCATATATGTACCATTTTACAGTTAATAATTTAAATTGCATTTACTGAACAGATATCGGTGAAAGCGTATTCGCATTCTAAAGCACTCACATGCACTGTCACTCAGTGTAATTTATAAGACCAACTATTCTAGTAAAAGTATCTATATCCACTAAAATTTTTGCTTTCTCACATCTCGCCTCATTAAATCGTTGCATTAGACGTATCAGCATAGACATGTGAGAATATCAGTTTGGCAATTTGTTTTGGGTTTGTGCAATTAAAACCGCATTAAGAGTGGCATTAAGACTTAGTGCAATTAAAAACTAAAATTTAAATTAAATTAAAATTAATTAGTGACAGAGTGTAATGTTTGCTCTACCACAAGCGACGCTGTACCGCTAACAGGTGGCGCTGATAAATTGACACTATATCTATGTCAAGAGAAGTTCAGGAATTCGGTGTACTAGCAGTGTGAACAACTTCCACAATTATAATATCACATTTCATATGATTATTCGGGTTACTATATTTAGCGTTAGACATACATGCGTTTTTGTGAAGGCAAAATGTGGCAACAAGAAGTGAAAAATACAACCAAAAGACCAGCCAGCCTCATTTAATTAATTACAGCTAAATAGAACTCCAACGGTTAAAGTGACAGGATTTGTTAAGTCAGCTAATGCATAAGATGATATTTGGATTTTCACTCTCAGTTTTATTATTTCACAACTTTTTGAGCCACGAAAAATGTTTCCCACTGAGAATTAACCGAAACTCCCCTGAGCATAGCTGAACCAGCAAGATACTGAACTTTATTCGATTATTTTTCAATTAATTATTTTGTATCTGGACTGCTGCGATGATGCGATAAAACATAGAAGACGAAATGTCAAAGACAAAGGTTAAAAAGTTTTTCTCCGAGTTAGTACACGTAACAGAATCATTTTCCAAAAATGTATAGAATTACAAATTACAAATAATTTATTAATATATTCACAAAAGTAATAGAATTCTAGAATTCTAGAATCCTATTGCTGTTTCTAATGGGATGCGTATAGGAATCAGGGACCGTGCGCGTATAACCAACAGCACAGCGGGTTTCTCGGAAACCGTCCACATCACAGGCACTTGGGACAGAGTCAGTAAAAACTGAAAATAATATTGAACGCACATTCACAAATACTACCGTACCTCTCAATTACAGTTCCACTATTGTGTCACTGTATATCAACTTTCCTTCATAAAAACTAACGCCGAACGCCCCCGCACTCGTCGCTGCGAGTGTGCTGTGTCGCCATGATAATGATAATATATATATAAAGTGTAATCTTATATAATCTATACAATAAAATATAATATATAATCTTGATATACATATTATCATTCTCATGGCAACACAGCACACTCGCAGCGGCGAGTGCGGGAGCGTTCGGCGTTAGTTTTTGTGAAGGAAAGTTTATATACAGTGACACAACAGTGAAACTGTAATTGAAAGGTACGGTAGTATTTGTGAATGTGCGTTCAATATTGTTTTCAGTTTTTACTGACTCTGTCCCAAGTGCCCGTGGTCCACATCGCCTCTATTATAGACACACAGCTGAACCGCAGGGTATCAAACACCGCAAAGCTGACCCAGATTTTTCGGAAATCTGTCCCAGACTCGGTGTGATTTAAAACAGGTTTTTGCCGGTTGATAATTGGTCATCTGAACCCCGAAGATCAGTTTTCATCGCACTTAGTGAGATACCGACAAGAAAACGCATTTTCGTATGAACACTGCCTGGATAAATATTCGTTTTAGTCGCGGAGAGGGATTTGTTAGCGCGCTCAAGGTCAAACAAACATTGTCTGTAGTACGTCGTATCCATCCAAAGATATCTACGTAAATGAAGAAAGCGCGCGCTTCATATTTTGCACGTCGGCATGTCGCCAACACCGGATAATTATCAGCGAGCGTCTGGATTGTATATCTACACGCGGTTAATTACTATTTGGCAAACAGTGACTTCTCGTCTGACGAATATAGTGTCATACTTCAACGTAGACCCATGTGCAAAAATACACGGCTATTACTACAAATTAGATTGACATTATGTCTTTTATATTATGCGTGTCAAAAATGCGGATAACCGCGTGTATTTCTATTTCACGTGATTTTAATTGGTCCGCTAGACCGAGAAGTGAGCAATTTCATATGCGTTTTTTTCATTATGCGGGATTTTCGCACACAAATGGAATCAAATATATGCATATCAAAGTGCAATAAAACACATTATACAACATTTTGCATTATAATAATCCAATATACAGTGAGATTTTTCGACTCAGTGTGCGCAGAAATGCAATTTTAACACAATTCATAGCTGCATGACTGAATGTTGCCACCGCTGACGTCAGAAGCCGTCGACATTAGCGCCTCTCGCGGCAAGAACAGAGCGCAAAACCAGACCGGTTTTGAGCATGCAGACACCACACCTAATGTCGCGATCAAATTCAAGTATAAGAATTTAACAAGGATCAGTACGTTTTTCGGTAAAATAGGAAAAAATATTTTACGCATATAATTATCTCCAGATATGGATGTCGCACAAAGCCTTTTACAAGAACGGTGTGTGGAACGCTGAATCACGAGAATCTGACGCATCAGCCTCAAATTTGCATTTAATCAATAGATCTGTGTATTGCACAATCCATTTCTATTCTTATGTATGGAAGCACGGCGTTCACAGTAAATAAACTGTTTTACTAGCTTCTGTTCTATCCTAGCTTCTTCTTTTACTATAGCAGTCTGCTAATATGGTAATTAACAATAAAGTGGCATAAATCAGGGCAAGTATACGGATGTACATTTTGCCTAGTTTGGTATCGAGATAATTATGCTATATAGGTGCGGAATATGGCTGTGTGTTAATACTGGGTTTAAACTTACCTTTGCTGTAACCCAACGAGCGAATGCAGCGTCTCCTGTGTATATCGCACTAAACCCTCTAGTTCGGTCTCCTGCTGCCTCAACACCAGGTAGCGCTGATTGATATGTACATCGGCAGATTTGCTCGCCACCAATTCGTTCTTTAGCAAATCCTTAAACAATCACGCGAAAGCGTTAGAATAGGCACTAGCTGTTGTCACTGCTGCCGCCGCTGTAACTGCTGCCTTTTTCATCACCACTCTTCCAACAACAACACCGATAATAATAATAATAATAATAATAATAATAATAATAATCGATAAAATGGATGCCTCTAAAACTGTTCACCACCGAACGAATATTAGTATTGGAGCAGGCCCCTGATGAGGCAGTATAAGCTCAGTGATGACATCAAAATGGATTTGTTGGAAAAGTGGCAACCGCAGTTCTTAAAAGGTGTAAGCTTAGTATAAAAGAGAAATTGAGCTTAGTGACAAACAGCACAAAGTCTTTAACCAACGAAGACACCTACAAATATCTGGATGTAGACGAAAGTGATGGTATTCAGCATGCAAAAGGATGAAGGAAGAACATTGCTTAAGGAGTACTATCGCCGCAGGTCGCCTAGTTCTCAAGTCGGAGCTCTGCTAAAAAACAAGATACGCGATCAAGCCTGGTCACTCCCAAGTCCCCGTGTACAGCTTCGGGGTGATACAACTGGTGCGACAGATATCGAAAGGATGGATCGCAAGATCAAAGAAAGCTACTAACCATGTCAAGGTCTGCCATCACCGTCAAAACAGATTAGAGCGACTGTAATCAAGGAGGCAACAAATGGTGGGTCGTGGTCTCATTTGAACTGATGTCTGCGACAACACGCCATTGTAGGTCTAGCGACTACATCGAGCTAAGGAAACAAATTACAAACTATCAAAATTCATAGTACTGGAATATCAAGCACCTCTCTTACGCGAGGCTAAAAGAAATTCAAAGCCAAGTACTTGTGTCCCAGTCCCGCCAGCCAGTCCTCAACAAAGGCAGAGACTGAAGACCAAATTAGAAGAGAGAAGATGAGTATTGAAGAACAAGCCTTTGAGCAGGAAGATTCTACAAGACAGCCTCCGACAGGCCATATTTGCCACAAGACTGCAAGCTTTGCTGGCTCAGTAGTTCCGGGCTCAACGGACGCGAGACACGAAAGCCTGATATCATCTGGCGTCAAGACCAAGCACTCACCACCAAGATACAATCACAACGCAACTCCTCAGCACAGGTCAATCAAAGTGCAAGAATGTGCAGGCAAAGCAGAGGAGACTATCAGCCACACATCATCTGCGATGCACAGTGCTAGCCCCAACCGAGTAACATAAATTCGCCATAAACAAGTCACCAAGCTATCTGCACCTGGTCAAATCTGAGTGAAATTTGGGTGGACAAGATACTGACACCTGTATGAACATACCGGAGAGACAGTTACCAACCTAAGGAGATACTAACACACAAATATGTGGGATCTGGCGGTGCATCAGGACTCGCACGATACCTGCAAACGCGCCCGATCTAGTGCTCACAACAGAAGAAAAAACGATGCTGATATGACCTTCGACCGCCCTAAGCCCCGTAACCCAGATGACCTACCTAACATTATGGTGAAGGCAAAGGGACAAACTCACCAAGTACAAGATCTGAAGATTGAAATACGGAGGATGTGGAAATAAAAGACGAGAAATTGGAACCAGTGGTGGTTGGAGCCCATTGGCTCTACTAAAAGAATGGTTTGAGAAGAACTTAAGGAACTCCCTGGCCAACACACTGCCCAAGAAGTGCAGAAAATCGCACTACTGGGAACAGCACACATCCTCGCGAAAATTCTGGATTGATCCCTATTAGTTGGGACGGATAAGAGCCACCGGCTAATGCCGTGATTCCACTTTGAAATAATAATGATATAATCAATAATAATAACTATAATATAATAATAATAATAAAAAAAAATAATAAATATTAATAAATAATTAAATAAAGAAATAATATTTACAGCTCATGCGTGGTTATAAAACACGCACGTTACCATGCGTTTTCCAATTCCATATTGTTACTTAAACGCGATCTGATAGTACATCGCTTACTTCCATCATCGCAACCCCATTAGCAAGTAAGTGGAAAGTGTGCTTGGATTTGCTAACACTTGCATCATGATGTAAACTCTCTACGAAGCTGGCAATGTCTTGTTTCGGGTTCACCAAGTAGCGCCACGGTGCTGCTGCCTACTTTCGTAGCGTTGACTTTGGTTCGTCATCTAAAATATACATTATTATAATATTATAATAAACCGGATTTATCGTAATAACGGCATACATTTGCGGTTTAGTGTTGAAGAGACGCACGCGTGCGACTGATGTAGCAACCATAGCGAATTTCACAGCGATACTAATTATGATGCCCCGACCGATGCGTTAAACAAAAGTAATGCGTGAAAATCACATAATAAATTTCGACTGAAGACGATTCGCGCCTTCAAGTTTATCTACTATCTCTAGTAGTCCAACAAACTAGGCAGAAGATGTGCAGACTATCTAAAATAAACGATGTTTTATGCATCTAGCCTGTTGTGTCTGTGTCCGTGCGTGTTGTGACGTGCGCGTGTGCGGTGTATATGCATGCGCCTGCATGCCGTAATGTAGGCCTACTGTGTACGTAACGGTGGCGCGTAGCTGTACTGTGAATGTGTACGGCGCGTATGAGCTGTGAATTGTACGTGCGCCGTATGTACTGTGAATGTGTACGTAACGTGCGCCGTATGTACTGGTGAATAGGTACCATGCGCGTATGTACCTGGTGGAGGATGTGTACATAGAGGACCGGTATGTACTGTGAATGTTGTACGTGCAGGTGATGTACGTGAATGTGTACGTAACGTGCGCGTATGTACTGTGAATGTGTACGTAACGTGCGCGTATGTACTGTGAATCGTGTACTAACGGTGCGCGTATGTACTGTGAATTCGTGCGTGCGCGTATGTACTGTGAATGTGTACGTGCGCGTATGTACTGTGAATGTGTACGTGCGCGTATGTACTGTGAATGTGTACGTAACGTGCGCGTTGTAACTGTGAATTGTGTACGGCGCGTATGTACGTGATGTGTACGGTGCGCGGGATGTACTGGGTGAATGTGTACGTGCGCGTATTACTGTTAATGTGTACGGGGTGCCGCGTAATGTACTGTGAATGTGTTACGTAACGTGCGCGTATGCTACTCGTAAAATGATGGTACGTGCGGTATCGTACTGTGAATGCTGGTACGTGCGCGTACGTATCGCGTGAAGTGTGCAACGTGCGCGTATGTACTGTGAATGGTACGTAACGTGCGCGTATGTACTGTGAATCGTGTACGTTGCGCGTATGTAACTGTGAATGTGGTACTTGCGGCGGTATGGTTACTGTGAATGTGTACGTGCGCGTATGTACTGTGAATGTGTACGTAACGTGCGCGTATGTACTGTGAATGTGTACGTGCGCGTGCGTAATGTGAATGTGTACGTGCGCATAATTATGTACTGTGAATGCAGTGACGTAGCCAGGATTTTTTAACAGGGGGGTCAAAAACAGCAAACTGCGCAAAATAGTGGATGACTTAATATCTTAATGGTTCCTCCGCCTCCCTCTCCACACCCTACGCTCCCCACCTCTCAGCTCTGCAATCTTTGTTTTGGGCGCCATGCGAAAAGGCGACATTTTTGTTCGTTGTTCTCTGCTCTCAAGTTATGTAACTGTTCAGTGGCGGATTCAAAAAAAGATGCAAAACGGTTCCTGTAAAAATACTTCCAGGCCATGGGGGTAAGGGTCGGTCGTGTGTACTGTTGCACTGTCAATTCGATCAATGTTGTTCATTTTTTTATTTTTTATTTTTTATTTTACTTTTGGATTAACAGGGGGGAGCATGGCCCCCTTACCCCCTCTAACTAGGCCACTGTGTGAATGTGTACGTGCGCGTGTGTGAATGTGTGTTTGCGTTAATGTGTGTTTGTGCGCGCGCCCGTGCGTGCGTGCATGGTGTGTGGCTTCGAAAACTAGCGATTACAGCCATACTAGGCATGCCTACTCTGTGGGTGTCTAGAATGGGTTTAAGCCAATCTGTACATGTCCTACTAGCCCATAAACCTGAACTAGGATGAAATAAGACGCCCACAAAACATCTTCATTATATCCCGGGTATTGATTTGCATATTACATCATTTCAATGATCTTGCCTTACATGCTACATATAGTAGAGCGGCTAAGCACCAGAATCGTTCACTTCTTGAAGAAAGCATAAAACTTTGCACAAGGGTTCTATGGTACCCAAAGATAATTTTAAAAGATGCATTCTCAAACGAAATATCTTCCTAGGATTGATATGCGCTGCACGGTGGTGCCATCTAGAGGCGAAAATTGGTAACAGCTATGCGTAAAAATTCATCGCAACCGTGATCGATACGTAGTCAACGTGATCGCATCCCTGCTTCTCCGTCTCGCCACAATTCCTTCGAAATTGCCGCCGGGTCGCATACAGACGCAGCATTAGACCGTCGAGGCGAGCAGACACCGGACTCTAAACTATTAATGTTTGACTCCCGGCTGCTTCCAAGCCATTCACATTTCGCTCATCGTTCGCTTCATTAGAGAACTTAATACGAAAGTGAGTCAACTAATAGTGCGTGGTAAGATACTCTTAACACGCGGCACTTGCGGCTCGCATGCAATAACGCTAATATCACGCCACTTAGCCGTAACGGCCCGAGGCGTATACGAACTAGAGTACATGATTTTGCTCTCGGACTGTGCTTCGTGGCGCGACAAATTCCCGACAATTACCATTAGAATGTAAAACTATGGTCTCTGAATCGGAAGTGAATCGGTGTTCATTACGAATTTAGTTTAGTGCAAGGGATACGAGTAAACTTGACAATAACGGTCCCAGGTAGAAATAAATAAATCATCGGCAAGTTGCCAACCAGCTGTGATGCATGCAGGCAATATAACCGACTAATTTTTTTTAATCAATGTATTATATAGAGTTCATTGTGCAGAGCGGAGCGCTGAATCCTCTCTTCTGCATGGATGTGGGAACGTGGAAAATATTTTTTCAAGCAAAATTTTACCATAGCTTGTCAGGATAATTACGCGAGAGTAATCAAGTAAATATTTTAGTTTTTGAACATATCTTTGCATTTTGTATATATACTGGTATTACCCTGCTGCATGAGAGTAATAAACACTGTATTAGTGTATGTATATTTTTACAGTAATTAAAGGATGAGCTGCAATTTATTCACACCCATGGAATGTCACAGTAATCAATAAGTCGCTTCGCAAATGTCACCTTGACACGATGCTTCATAAACACAAGTGAAACAATGTGCCTGAATTGATGGATTGTCTGTATCAACATTAAAAGCGCAAATATGTCAGGCAATTTTACGTGTTAATGCTATTGTAATATACATATAATATAAGTGCGTACTTGGACTCTATCACACATTCCGACTCGATCATCCATGGGCATTAAAAATTCACAGAAACTTTACAGAGCATATCGTGTGCTGCCAGGAGCTTGCTGGTAAATCCATCAGATGATATGTAAACTTTAATGATTTTTCTGCAGGCAGACAACCGGGGAAGGGGAGGGGGTGTCAGCGGCAGTATATAATATATTAATTAGGCGAATACTACTATCTATCGTTTACCCGGCGAGTTTACAGACCGTGTATGTCCAATTAAAATAGGTGTAAATAGTAAAGTATAGTAGATAGTAGGTGTAAATAGGTGTAAATAAGTCGCTTCACCAAAACAAAAAAAAGCTTATGTTAGCCTCATATTACCAGCTGCCTCTAACTTGAACGTCGATGTCTTCAGCATTCTGATGCACTGGGTTGGACTATTGCAGCACTATCCCACTTACTCACCTTTACTTACTTTTTACGTTGACTTTCACTTTTCACTTTTACTTTCACTTATTTAACTCACTTACTTTTACAGATAGCAGCGAGTTATGCTGGGCAATGGCACTGGAGATGATATTGCTGAGCTCTGTGTGCACCTCTTCCAATTCCTGCAAAGTATGAAAATGCAAAATCCATCACGGATAGCTCGAAACACATCGGCAAACAATATATAGCATCGCGCCCCACCGCCGCCGCTTTCAATCGCGATCATATTTAGACGCTGTCTCTACGCGAAAACCCTAATGACGATGGGTTAATGGGATTTTCCGTAAAAGCCTCGACACCAGCCCGCATTTTCCGTCGCAAGTATCATTCGTAGATCAAATACAGTGTATATATATATATTATATATTATATAATATATATATATATATATATATATTATATATATATATATATATATTACGCACTCAATAAAACCAACCGGTCGTCTCTCTCTCTCTCTCACTCTCTCTCTCTCTCTCTCTCTCTCTCTCTCTTCTCTCTCTCTCTCTCTATATATATATAATATATATATATAATAATATATATATATATATATATATATATACAACACAACACACAACGACCGGTTGGTTTTATCGAGTGCGTGTTTTAATGACAGCGGTTCAAGGAAGAAATACCGCAGCATCACGCATTCGTCTGTGCCGCAAGTATATATTGTGACTTTTTTGCATGCAGTTGGTTTTCTTTAGACTTTTATGTGATCGCAGTGAATGCAGACTTGTAAAGCCGCCCCAACTTTTATTCTCCGCGGCTGCCATCTCCTCGTATTCTTCTTCTATCCTCGTCTCCTCTTCCTCCTTATTCTCCTAGTCCCCACCCTGTGCTCGTTCTTATCATCATAATCATGCATCTACCCATCGTTATTCACGGTATTATAATATCAAAAGGCTCATTGTGCAGCGAGATAGAATAAGCTCACTGCGAGTATCTATACTGATCGCGTTTACACTAATGTGATCAACTTATCGATTCTACAGACAGCGCGCGTGCCGTTCTAAATCAGCTCGCAGTTATTTAAACGTGCTACACAGACGGACCACTCCGCGGCCCGGACGCAGGCCCGCGCCACCATGCCCGTACGAGCACCGCCACGCACGCGCAGCGCCCAGCCGTACAGCAAGCACGGCAGATCGCACGCACGCGCACCGACCACACGCTACACGTCGCGGGCACGCCCAGCCCCCCACGCGTACTGCACGCACGCGCGCGCTAGACACCACACAAGGCACCGACCCACCCACAGCGCGGCCCGCACATATGCACGCACGGACGCGGGCAAACCAACCTACCCACGCTGCCCGCACGCAAACGAGCACGCCCACGCACGCCCGTACGCACGACAGCACGCACGCACGCAAAGCGCGCGAAAAGAACACCGGTGAACTTAGATTCTCACGTCGAGCAGTTGAGGAAAGTGTTGTGTAGTGGCATGATGTCGATGAGGCATGGAAGCTCTCAATGGAGGACGATGAGTTGTTCGCGTGGTAGTACTGCTGCAGATCCTGGCGACTCGTTGCCTCGCGCCCTTATGCGACTGTACTTCTTGATACGCATCCTGGTACTCCTTAAACGTCTGTAACACGAACGAGCAGATTAGGTAGACGCACGCTGGTAAATCTATTCTTCAAAGGTATTTATCATTACGATCGAGTTAATATAAAGTTTAGCTATCAAGAATCGAGATAATGCAATTTTCTATGCGTCTGTGGTGACAATATGACAGATATATTGGTTGATGCATGCACGATTGAAATGGCTAATGGAAGATTAGAACTAAAAGTGAAGATATACTTCAAAGAAATTTTTTTTCCAAGCCACCACGCTAAGACAACTGAGTAACGTTCACCATATTCCGCGAGATGCGCTCTTCTTATCCAACAGCAGGAGAAGGCGCAGACATGACCCAACACTGACCAATATACCCCGGGGCCGTTGTCAGAAACATCGTAAAGTTAATACTAATGTTAATTTGTTTCTGAAAACGGGCCCTGGTTTCTACGATACTAATAACTGCAGTGTTTTGCTCTAAACTTGGCGATTATCTGGCGAATGTGCCAAGGTTGTGCAGGCGATCAGCACTGCGTACGATTTATGGCGTGACTTGTCACGCTTGACTGTGTGTGATATGACTGCACGATGGTCCTGGCTGCTTTCCGGGAAGATCCGAAAATAAGAACTATTATTCGAAAAGCAAAGCGATCTAATCCTCTTAGAGCGTATTTTCGCGAACACGATATACTCACCTATACGATATGATCTCGTGAACCTACTTGAACTCTGTTATAGACTGACATTCGTTGAGGATTTATGTACATATACACGCCACTCATACGCGCCCACACACGCGCCCACACTCACACGCACGAAACGGCGCCAAACGCGCACGGCACACGACACGCACACGCACAGCACACGCACACGCACACGCACACGCACACGCACATCCACGCTCGAACTCACACGCACACCCCACGCGCAGCGCCGCACACACACACCACACAAAGAGAGACAGACAAAACAACAGACAACAAACAACAGAACGCCTCACGCACACGACACGCACGCACGCACGCAACCACGCACGCACACACACACACACTACACCACAACCACATTATAAATGATACTATATATATATATATATATATATATATATACTATATATTATATATATTGTGAGCCTTTATTCCATTTGTGCCCGGTTTAGTACATTCTACGCAGTACTGCTTAGTGAAGATATTTGAACTCGGCATCTCGTTCAAGTTCAATCAATAATCACTAGCCATTAGACAAAACGTTAGCCGACTCAGTAACATAGCCACATATTACCATTATAGCGCGTTAAAAGAATTTTCCACCACAAGAATTGCGTTAAGCAAATCTAACAGATGATTCGTGACAGAAAATCGAACTAACTATATAGCCATACAATACGTGCCTGTACGCATCAAGTTTATCAATAAGTGTAAAGTGTACAGGTCATTCATAGTACAAAGAGGCAACTGGGATGTTGGGATTTGCATTTGGTTGCTGTCAAGTTTTGGGATAATGCATTTGTGGAATATTATACGGTTTCAAAAGTTTTCGCTATTTATTATTCAATCTCATCGCGCCATTTAAATCGACATTGCAATTCTGCAGAAACAAATTGAAAGCTGCTATCGATTCACGACTAATACATATCATGTCTCCCTAAATTATATGAACAAAATGGCTCATGAGATATGATATTTCCCAAAAAAGAAAAATTTTTTGAACAGGTGTTCTGGCAGTGACTTGAACCCAGCATATTACTAGGAAAGACCTTCAATGCATTCGCGGCGTTTTTAATTAGCTTGACGCGTACGTTACCACGGTCGGCCTTCCAATCTATCGAGGTGTGTGTAGAGCAATCAAACTCTGCTTTACACCTAAGCCACTCAGGAGGAAAAAAACTTGACCGCTGTTGCGGTGAATTTTAACGGCAATATCTGAGTGAGAGAAAGCGAGTGAGAACGAGAGAGAGAGAGAGAGAGAGAGAGAGAGAGAGAGAGAGAGAGAAAGAGAGAGAGAGAGAGAGAGAGGAGAGAAGAGGGGAGAGAAGAGCGAGAAAGAGAGAGAGAGATGAGAGAGAGAGAGGAGAGGGCAGAGGGAGAGTGGGAGAAAGAGAGTGATAGAGAGAGAGAGAGAGAGAGAGAGAAGAGAGAGAGAGAGAGAGAAGAGACGAGAAGAGAGACAGAAGAAAAGAGAGAGAGAGAGAAAGTGCGAGACAGAAAGAGAGAGAGAGAGAGAGAGAGAGAGAGAGAGAAGAGAGAAGAGAGAGGGGGAAGAGAAAGAAAGAAAGAGAGAGAGAGAGAGAGAGCGCGCGCGAGAAAGAAAGAGAGAGAGAGAGAGAGAGAGAGAGAGAGAGAGAGAGAGAGAGAGAGAGAGAGAGAAAATCGCAGAGATTCAAGTGACGCCCACCAGCGCCCTCTAACAGCTGAAATATGCAACAACATACCTTCAGCAGTATTTCCTCGCTCTTGCACACCGCGTTTTCCAACGTGTCCCTGTACTGGAAAATCTTCTTCGCCTGGTTTCGTCGATGCGACGTTCTCTCCATTAGACTATCGTGAATGTTCGTGGATAGATGACTGCCCCATGTCCGAGTTAAGCTGAAAAAAATATAGTAGGGCTCGGTTACAAGCTGGTGCTTCATCAAAGCAACTTCTAACTTCGATATTTCAGCCAGCAGGCATATTAAAACTATGTATTACCGCCTGCAAGAATAGTTATAAAAAAATCAATGCGTGTGTGCGTGTGCGTGTGCGTGTGCGTGTGCGTGTGCGTGTGCGTGTGCGTGGCGTGTGCGTGCGTGTCGTGTGCGTGTGCGCGTGCGTTTGCGTTCGCGTGTCTGTGATCGTGTTTTTGACAGCAATCCACCTCCTTGCTACAAGCACGGAGGTAATACGCGACAATTACTCTACCACAAACACTAAAACCTGGCCAAGGTAACCATTTTTTCAATGAACAAGCGACATCTCTCGCTAGTTTACAATATATAATATATATAATATATATATATATATATATATGTTTAAAAATATTGCTTTCGTCTATAGTGTTTGCGGCGTGTCCTCCGCCATTCCTCGTTACTACTTTGCACTTTGGGTATTTCAGTAAACATACAAGAGGATGCATTATCCCGCCCCGGGCCATCATTATCATCTTAAATATAGCAATAATATAATAATAAAATATAAAAATTAATAAAATAATAATTCCATCAGGTGTTGAAACTCCAATAAGCCTATAAATTTCGCATTGGAAGTCGTATTTCTGCCTATTAGTACCAACACGTCCCAGGGTTTGGATACCAGCTGGGACCCCGCACACGCTCTATATGCCGTGATCAGCGAGAGACCGGATATTTTGCCTTTCATGTTGACCCAGGTCTCTCGCCTATAACATGGCTGAAATCATGCGGAAATAGTTTATGCCTGTGTTGTTTCAGGTGATATCCCACATTAGCGGGGCATGCTAACGTACAGTGAGTGAATCATGGAATATATGAGATATATCTCTGTTATTACGCGTTACATTTTCAGGTTTAGTTGATGCATTCCCATGGCATCGTTAGTGCATTGCCCCCAAAATCACGTTTATATGTCACGTTTGCTGTATACTGTGTTTATACATTTGTTAGCCGTGTATTGTGTATTGTGTTTATAATTTTGTTGGCCGTGTATTGTGTACTGTGTTTATACATTTGTTAGCCGTGTATTGTGTATTGTGTTTATAATTTTGTTGGCCGTGTATTGTGTACTGTGTTTATATATTTGTTAGCCGTGTATTGTGTATTGTGTTTATAATTTTGTTGGCCGTGTATTGTGTACTGTGTTTATATATTTGTTAGCTGTGTATTGTGTATTGTGTTTATAATTTTGTTGGCCGTGTATTGTGTACTGTGTTTATATATTTGTTAGTCGTGTATTGTGTATTGTGTTTATAATTTTGTTGGCCGTGTATTGTGTACTGTGTTTATACATTTGTTAGCCGTGTATTGTGTATTGTGTTTATAATTTTGTTGACCGTGTATTGTGTACTGTGTTTATATATTTGTTGGCCGTGTATTGTGTACTGTGTTTATATATTTGTTAGCCGTGTATTGTGTATTGTGTTTATAATTTTGTTGACCGTGTATTGTGTACTGTGTTTATATATTTGTTGGCCGTGTATTGTGTACTGTGTTTATATATTTGTTAGCCGTGTATTGTGTATTGTGTTTCTAATTTTGTTGACCGTGTATTGTGTACTGTGTTTATATATTTGTTGACCGTGTAGTGTTTACTGTGTTTATACATTTGTTGGCCGTGTATTGTGTACTGTGTTTATACATTTGTTAGCCGTGTATTGTGTATTGTGTTTATAATTTTGTTGGCCGTGTATTGTGTACTGTGTTTATACATTTGTTAGCCGTGTATTGTGTATTGTGTTTATAATTTTGTTGGCCGTGTAGTGTTTACTGTGTTTATACATTTGTTAGCCGTGTATTGTGTATTGTGTTTATAATTTTGTTGGCCGTGTATTGTGTACTGTGTTTATATATTTGTTGGCCGTGTATTGTGTACTGTGTTTATATATTTGTTAGCCGTGTATTGTGTATTGTGTTTATAATTTTGTTGACCGTGTATTGTGTACTGTGTTTATACATTTGTTAGCCGTGTATTGTGTGTATTGTGGCGCATTTCTGATGACTTGATGTGTGAATCTTGATGTCGGGATGTATGGCCGGCATATAATCTACGATCGCCGCTGTGATTCACTTCCCGCTTAACAGTCCATTAATATAGCTCCTATATCTTAATCCATATATCTTATATTATATATCTTAGCTCTTATAGCCATTATTATTTTGATATGATTAACTGATTATTTTTTATTATCGGGCATCAGGCAATATACACATGGCTAAAAACACGCTTCTACTAACCTGTGCATCCAGCTCAATATCTTTCATCCACGTTTCCCACACATTCCAGAGGTTGCAAGGATAGTCCGGTCTGAAGAAGAAGATTCAAATGCGTTTGATTGCGTAATAGAAGACGAATGTCGCAATGACGAATGAAAACTGTGCGCCCCTGAATTGCAGCGCGATCGAGAAGCCAACACAGGCATGCTTCAACACAGCTCTAGTACTACAGCTCTATAACCCGGGGCTATAACCCATGGCAACAAGGGCTATAGTACTAGAGCTAGCTTCAACATGGCAATTTGCTTTGCGACACGAAGGATGTACGCTGCAAACATCTTGTAGTTTATGCGCTACAAGAAGTCGCGATTATAGGGCCGTGTGTTTACTGCATCATTAATCAGTCTAGCTCCGACAAGCTTTAGTCATACATCGAAAACCCTCGTCTTTTGTGTATTGACATTTAGTCTCGCGGCCTGCTGGCTGGGCTACAAACGAACTAAAAGCTCGTTCTATTGCAAGTGCAGCGATATGCTCAATAAGAAGATGAGCATTCGCACACGCGATTAATAATGCAAGTGTCTCACCGTCATGCGGCTCTATACGAGCAAGACAAGCTGATCGCGCTAAAACACTACTCACACACGCTTAACGCAGTTTGCCTCATTTTAGTGGTTTCCCCCTTTTTATGAGCTGTTCCCCATAGAGAGGCTAATAGGCGATAACTGCAGCGGATCGGCAAACACATGCGCGCTTGTAGCTCGGATAATTTTGAATCGCCTCGTTTTAAATCATTAGTGGATCAGAGGGAAGGATTTCAGCCGAAATGCATCCAAGAACATAATTTCACACGATAGTGCGTGGCAAACAAAGCCAACTACATATTTCTCTGTACCATTGGACTTTCTCAAGCAGTTGTAAGAGTATCTTTGATGGGGATCTTGAGGCAGGATGCACGCGTTGCCGTTCAAAAGCAGAAACGATTCACAAGCGTTTAATCACGTTTTTCTGTTTTCCTGGTTTTTCGCATTATTCAGCCGTACTATACGCGTTAAAACTTAAAATTTATAGTACGAGTATGACGGTTATCCTATCCCCGAGAGACAATAACATCGTTCGTGAAAAATTACGTTAAAAGTGTCAAAAGCCCACATTACTATAAATAATAAATATTACAGTAACGTGAGCTCGTGGATTATATGTAACCCGGTCTTTGCACGATGCCGAATCTCTTTTGTTCGAAATGCTGTCAGGGTTTCCTATACATTTAATTGCATGCTAGATTCTGCGATAACACTTGAACGCGGAAGGTGCAACAAACACAGCAATATTTTGCCGACAGAAACCTATTAAATAACACAACACGTATTTATGAAATATCCCGCTAAATGGGTATAATTATATTCAATTATATAATAATCAAAACTGCGGTCGCGTGCGTTTGCGTTCGCGTGTCTGTGATCGTGTTTTTTCGTGTTTTTGACAGCAATCCACCTCCTTGCTACAAGCACGGAGGTAATACGCGACAATTACTCTACACAAACACTAAAACCTGGCCAGGTAACCATTTTTTCAATGAACGAAGCGACATCTCTCGCTAGTTACAATATATATATATATATATATATATATATATATATATATATATATATATATATATATATATATATATATATATATACACACACACACGACCGGTTGGTTTTATCGAGTGCGTGTTTTAATGACAGCGTTCAAGGAAGAAAGGCCCAGCATCACGCATTCGTCTGTGCCGCAGTATATATTGTGACTTTTCTGCATGCAGTTGGTTTTCTTTAGACTTTTATGTGATCGCAGTGAATGCAGACTTGTAAAGCCGCCACTTTATTCTCCGCGGCTGCCATCTCCTCGTATTCTTCTTCTTCCTCGTCTCCTCTTCCTCCTTATTCTCCTAGTCCCCACCCCCTGTGCTCGTTCTTACCATCATAATCATCACTACTCATCGTTATTCACGTATTATAATATCAAAGGCTCATTGTGCAGCGAGATAGAATAGCTACTGCGAGTATCTATACTGATCGCGTTTACACTAATGTGATCAACTTATCGATTCTACAGACAGCGCGCGTGCCGTTCTAAATCAGCTCGCAGTTATTTAAACGTCGCTACACAGACGCGCACGCACACACGCACACACTCACGGACGCAAGGCACCGACCCACCCACGCCCGTACGCACGCACGCGCGCACGCACAGACGCAAGGCACCAACCCACCCACGCCCGTACGCACGCACGCGCGCACGCACGCACGCAAGGCACCGACCCACCCACGCCCGTACGCACGCACGCGCGCACGCACAGACGCAAGGCACCAACCCACCCACGCCCGTACGCACGCACGCGCGCACGCACGCACGCAAGGCACCGACCCACCCACGCCCGTACGCACGCACGCGCGCGCGTACGCACAGACGCAAGGCACCGACCCACCCACGCCTGTACGCACGCACGCGCGCGCGCACGCACACAAGGCACCGACCCACCCACACGCGCGGCCCCGCACATATGCACGCACGGACGCGGGGCAACCAACCTACCCACGCCCGCACGCACGCACGCACGCACGCCCGTACGCACGCACGCACGCACGCACGCAAGCGCGCGAAAAAGAACACCCGGACTTAGATCTCACGTCGAGCAGTTGAGGAAGTGTTGTGTAGTGGAATGAGTCGATGAGGCCATTGGAAGCTCTCAGATGGAGGACGTACGAGTTGTGCGCGTGGTAGTACTGCTGCAGATACTGCGACTCGTTGCTCGCGCCCTTATGCGACTTGTACTTCTGATACGCATCCTGGTACTCCTTAAACGTCTGTAACACGAACGAGCAGATATAGTAGACGATCGCTGGTATCTATTCTTCAAAGGTATTTATCATTACGATCGAGTTAATATAAAAGTTTCAGCTATCAAGATCGAGATAATGCAATTTTCTATGCGTCTGTGGTGACAATATGACAGATAATATGGTTGATGCATGCACGATTGAAATGGCTAATGGAAGATTAGAACTAAAAGTGGAAGATATACTTCAAAGAAATTTTTTTTCCAAGCCACCACGGCTAAGACAACTGAGTAACGTTCACCATATTCCAGCGAATGCGCTCTCCTTATCCACAGCAGGAGAAGGCGCAGACATGACCCAACACTGACCAATATGAACCCGGGGGCCGTTGTCAGAAACATCGTAAAGTTAATACTAATGTTAATTTTGTTTCTGAAAACGAGCCCCTGGTTTACTACGATACTAATAACTGCAGTGTTTTGCTCTAAACTTGGCGATTATCTGGCGAATGTGCCAAGGTGTGCAGGCGATCAGCACTGCGGTACGATTATGGCGTGACGTTGTCACGCTTGACTGTGTGTGATATGACTGCACGATCGTCCTGGCTGCTTTCCGGGAAGATCCGAAAATAGAACTATTATTCGAAAAGCAAAGCGGATCTAATCCTCTTTAGAGCGTATTTTCGCGAACACGATATACTCACAATACGATATGATCTTCGTGAACTACTTGAACTCTGTTATAGACTGACATCGTTGAGGATTTATGTTACATATCACGCCACTCATACGCGCCCACACACGCGCCCACACACGCGATATTTATACGCCTTGTGAGAGAAAATATTATTCTCAAAAACGCTCTTGCTGATGAAAATGAAACACCCTAATTATATTTTTCTTATACTATAATAATATATATATGCTCATATCAGCAGTGAAAAGCATTATGCATCGTAACAGTGCCGTGAGGGAGTTCGCCAACACCATGCACTAGGGCGTAACTGCACCCAATGCCGGCTCTAGATGTGATGCGAGCAAGGCGCCATGTGTTCATGAACTAAGGCGCTTGTGTTATATGAGGTCGCGTTATATAATAATATGTAATACTAATAAATATTAATTATATAT